CTTTACCTATATTTTTTTATTTTTTGGATTTTGTTAGGCTTAATTAGTATTCACTTAAATTACTCAACATTCATTTGACACTTATTACCTGTACTTTGTAATACAAATTTTTTTGGACAAAGGTATTTTATTTCATTATGAGGGGTATAATAGATATTTTTGTAAAAATTAATGAAATTCTATTAATCGTTAGAAATTCATTAATAAGGGTGATATCACAGTCACACGCCATGTGATGATATCATATCCCATTATGGCAAATAAATGTTTTTCTTTCTAGAAAAAATTTCTACTTCACTCATGATAAATTACTTAAAATATATTTAGGCAAAAAAGTTACTACATTGTGGAGTAAGGGTAAGTGTAATACTTCATATGTAAGAGTAGCCTAATAAAACCAATTTTAAATTCTTATAAAAATACACATGGCATTGAGTTGGAATGCTGGTAAATGGGCAAAGTGTTAAATACTTAATCTCCAATGGGTATTTTGATAAGGAAAATATTTTGATGGAGCTACAACCCTATCAAAATAAGTAAAGCCTCACCTCAAAAATTACATTTATAGAGTCGATAAACCGTCAAATCGATCATCTCGGCCAGGAATATTATGGTTGTAAAAAAAATCAGGATTTCAAGCGTTACAAATAGTGTATATTGAAACACATATCTAGACTCTCCATCTTGACTTAAAAATAAGTGTTTACAAGATTCGCAAGAGTTTTACTATTATTTGAGCTTCAAATTTCATATTCAGTGTTAGAAATTGATATTAGAGTCATTATGGAGAATTTTGATGCCCAAAGTGCTTCGCGTACAATGATTCAAGGTGAAGTTTTTAATTAAGCCTAGGCTTCATAGAAACTACATCCTTTTGATAATTTTCTCTAAATTTTAGAAAGATGGACTCACTATAACATATGTGTTCCCGGCCACACCTAGACCCTACCTAAACAGATCTAAGTGCTTTGTTAGAAGCCCTAAATATGGCGTGCATTGAGAGAATAAAGTGTCATAGTGTGTGACTTTGCTTCTTCTGCTTTTTTTTTTAAGTTCTTAAATTTATTCGTTTGATGTCTGAGCTTTTTACTCTACATTTTTCACAGGGTCCATTCCAAGAGTCTAACCAAAGCAAAGAATGTCGTTATGGGATTGCATACCATACACAAGCTGTGTATGACATGCGCTACCCCAGGATGTAGGCGTTTGGTTTTCAGTAATTGACGGCAGACATTCACGACATCGAGGTGAATGTCTCGCGATCAAACAATTGGTTTAATCTCCACCATCAGTAAAACCATGCTCCTGTCTACTGTTTAATCTGACTTTTTCTTTTTTGGATGTAGTTTTTATGAGGTTTGGGCACTTATTAAAAATAAAGTATAGTCTCACCTCGAATCCTTGTCGAAAAGTAATTTGGGCATTGAAATCTGCATGATGGCTCTAAAATCAATTTCCAAGACGACTATAAAATTTGAAGTTAAAAAAAAAAAGTACAGATCTTGCAGATCTATGAAGTTTATTTCTAGGATAAAATAGACGGTCTAAATAATGTGTAATATAGCATACACTATTTTTAAGACTTGAAATCCTAAGTTTTTTTTGTTAACAACAGTAAGATTCAAGGCCAAGATGATTAACTTGAAGGTTTTTTAATAGGAGGGGCAACGGGTCAGGTTGGGTCAAGGTCCGGTCGGAGCCGAACCCAAAGGACTTGAATTCACCCGACTTGGAGTTGAAAATATAATATGGGACCTGGACCTAGACTCTGACCCGACCAAATCCAATATAAAAATTAAAATACCTATACATATACCAATATTTAAATATATTTTATATATTAAAGCCCAAAAAATATTGTCGGACCCAGACCTAGACCTAGATAGGGTCTACCCCTTGGGTCTTGGGTCCGGTATGGGTGCATTGCCACCCCTATTCTTACGTCAAAATTATAAATGTTTGATGAGTTTTAAGATGAGGCTTTATCTATTGGGTGTAGTTTGTATAGAGCCGAGGCTCTATAATCAAATGAGAGCTCACCTTCAAATAATATCGAGAAATGTAGTTTTAATACTAGAAATTTTTTACTAACCTTAAAATATATTTTCATCTTCAATTATAAAATTTAACGTTTAAAAATAGTGTAGATTAAGCAGATCTATAAAAACTTGAATAACTTAAAAATTGACGGTCAAAAATATGTTACAAGATGCATTATTTCCAAAACTTGTTCTCAAGTCCATGCATCTTGATGTCGAGATGATCAATTTGAAGATATTTGAACATCAAAACAATCCCTTTTAATGAAATTTTTGAGGTAGGTTCCACATAAGTTTTTTTCTGATTTGTTTTGATAGGATTGGAGCCCTATTAAAATATTTGACCTTTTCTTTTTTCATTTTTTTTGGACCATCGTGCCCTTCACTCTAAGATCATACGTCACATTCTCCTTTCATTGATGCTTTACCATAGACGCGGCTGTCCTTGCTTAACACACACGCCTGCACGGTCACGTGCTTGACACATGGCGAGAGAAGACAGGTGTGATTTAAATATATTTTCGGACCCAATCGTCGTCTTGACCTCAAGGTTCCAAAATTTTTAATTAAATGCAGGAAATAATACTTTATAAAATTTCCACTATATATTACGATGCACCTACTCCCTTGGATACAAGACTTGGTCGGGAGATATTTTTTTGTAAGAGTGTGATTTGAATAAGGTTGCCACCATAAGCAAACAAAGTATGAGGCACCTTCAAATTTTGTCTTTTGATGGAGGTTTATTGTAAAAAATTCTTAGCATAGTACGTGAATATATTTTGGTCTCTAATAATAAAATTTTAAACTCTAAAATTGGTTTAGATCGAGCATATCTATAAACATATGAAAATCTTGTACTATTGTTTAGACTTGAAATATGTTTTTCTTTTTGTCATAACTACACATCTTGGGGTCGAGATAAATCAATTAGACGAATTTCCCTTGTCAAGACGACCTTTTTCGATGGATTTTTGAGGTGCACCATATTTCTACATTTTAAGGTTGAGACCACATACAATTTTTCTTTTTTTTCAATTCAATATTTTAGGATCTATGTGAGTATCATCATATGATTATTTTTGTAAAAAAAAAGAAAAATTTAGATTTTGAATTTTTATACAATTAGATCTTGCCTTTTGAAAATTGGAATCCAAACATTGAAAAAACTTTACGTCCATCATCTCGGCTTGAACATTATGGTTTTGAAAAAAATTTAGGATTTCAAAATCTAAAAATAGTTTATATTCTAACAAATTATCTAAATCATCTCTTTCGCCCTAAAGTAAGTGTTCATAGATCCATAAGATCTGTATTATCTTTTTAGTTTCAAATTTATTGTCCGTGTTCGAAATTGAATTTAGAAGCGTAGTCGAGAACGAGGATTTGAGGTGCGACTTTATTTTGTTTTGATGAAGCCTAGGCCTCACAGAAACTTCATCCCAAAAACAATGACGACGGAGTCAAATGCCATGCACGTTAAGGTCGACGCGTTCAGGCAAAAGTGGAAAGACGATTCACACCGAGAACCTTCTGGAAAGTGGAAAGAGCTGGAAACGTTCAAGAAAAAAAAAATTAAAATGGAAAGAGCTCGAATCCTTGAACGTTTCAAGAAGAAAAACCCACCCTCCAAATGCAAAAAAAAAAAAAAAAAATTAATTCATTTCCACCAAAATCCAAAGGCCAACAGAGATAATTAATTAATTTGCTGATAAAATCAAAGGGAATAATTGTTCCTCAATCAATAGAGAGAAACTTAGAGTTGAAAGGTGTGGACCATTTTTACCCTAAAAAACACGCTTTATTGGGAACCCTACAAATGATCCTCCAAATTTAGTGAAGGCCAATTTATACCTCCTAATTTGCACACGCTAAAAAAAAGGATCTCCAAATTTAGAGACGCGTCCAAACTAAACAAGAAAAGAGGTGAGAGTCTAGAATTTCGAGAATTCCGAGGAGGCAAAAAATTTAAGAAACCGACTTCTCAGCGGAACCCGCGGGACCAACAAATCTAGCGGTGACCGCCAATAATTTGGTCACCAAATTTCCAAGGGTTGTAATGCGTTAAATTTAGAGGCAAAGAGCGTAGAAAACGTTGCCAAAAATTGGCTTGAATTTTGTGTACAGGAATATATCCCCTATCTTTTATCAAATACCCAAAGGCATCCAATTCTTTTAGTGATTATTTTGGGCTTCTATACCTAATTTCCAAATATAGCTCTTTATGGGCTTGGCTAGATGTGGCTCTAGTCAAGCCTAGATGTCTATAGGGTCAGCCTATCCTAGCTTGGACCGTGCCCAAGAGATAGCACAAGCCCGGTCCTAGTCATGTTCAGGCATGGCCAAGGCTAATAGACCTAATAACAAAAAAGGCAAACTTAAATGAAAGGAAAAATCGAGCTGGGCCAGGGTCAGTCATAACATGGCCTTGGCTTCTTACGATTGTTGGGCCTAGCTTAACGCTAGCCTAGCCCGGCCACATTTGTTGTGGGCTCTAGCTTTTTAAGACCGGAAGAGGTCACAACTGTAAAAAAAAAAAAGCTATATATTGTCTATATTAACTTGAAAGACAATACATACGTTAAAAGAAAATATATATTGTCTATCAGATTAATATAGAAAGTGTATATGTATTTTCAGGTTAATGCGTAATACGAAAGATGTATATATATATTCATATTAATATAAATGTATATTGTAATCAGTATACATTGAAAGGATATAATATATTTTCCTTTGGCAACATCAACTCACGGCCTCTTACCAAAATTTCAAAAGTTTGTTGTGCTGGGCATTATAGAAAGTACGGGGGGTTTTGGGGTCAATTCTTCCTAAAAAGTTAAAAAAGAAATGGAATAAAAAATAGGGATTGCAGGTTCACACAAACTTCCTCAAATTGGAGCCAAGTCGTTGGAAGCCGTTTAACCCAAGAAAACTAACCCTATTTAAACCCTTCCATTCCCCTTCTCAAGACAAACCCACCCAAGAAAGGGAGAGAGAGAGAGAGTTTAGAGAGAGAAAGAGAGCTTTTGTTTCAGCAAATTTGCAGAAAGGCATCAATGGCATCTTTCTGCATTGCAAAAATGCCCCTGGCATTGTTCTTCGTCCTCTCCATGCTCCTTCATGGCGCATTCGGTATGTAAAACTGATGATGAAATTTTTTCCTTCTTTTTAAAACATCATATTGATTTTTATGTAAATTTTGGTTTCGGCTCCTAAATGAAGAGCCTTCTTATAGCTGAATGAACCAAAATAATAAACCTTTTGAAATTCTACGACAAATCCTCTTTTTCTTGTTTTACGCATTTTGCTTGCCATTTATAACCAATTTTCATGTTGAAGATTGGAGAAAATTTGTTCAAATGTTGGCTGAATTGAAGAGAGCTTTATTATTATTATTATTAACTTGCTTTCTCTATTTCTTTCTATTATATATGTGGTCTTTTTTCTTTTTTTTTATTTATATTTAATTAATAGTTTAAGAATACTAAATGTTATTAGGGGAAAGGTTTCTATATTTCTCCTACAACATAGAAGATAAATACTCTCTCCCATCCAGCCGTCCAATTTAGATCAACCACTCACCATTTGATTTAGATTAGACATCTCAAAGTATTTTATTTTATTTTTACAAATTTTATGAATATAAAATTTGGTACATACCATCTTTGCAATATGGCGCATCTAAAAGACATTAAAAAGAATTTTTTAATGAAATATAATGACCAAAATACTTTATGAAACTTTCAAAGGTATTTTGGTCATTTTATTGAAAATATTTTTTTATATTTTTCAAGTGCGAGTTTAATAGAGGAGTAGATGTCCAAAATTTGGTGTCAAAATATTTTGTATAAAAAATTAAAAATAAAATAATATAGTGATGTGACAATGTGATTAAGACCATCTCAGCCGTTCTATTGAAAATGGATGGTTGAATAAGAAGAAGTATATAAAAACCATATTAATAAGCTAATAGATTTCCCGCTCCTGCGGAAGTATCCATTTACTCCCTCGGGTATAACACACGCAAAGAATACCTTTTAGATCTCAAAACTTGGGGAAGTAATCTCTACAACCCATCAACTCATACCAATAAATTTTTTCTTGAAATAAACCCTCGGTCTACTAAAATAATGCCTCAAGATTGAATAGAGACCATCCAATTTTGGAAGAGCTAATCTAAGTGTCATGAAACTCAAAATTCAAATTTATTATTCTGAAAATACTGATGTAATAGTTTTTATGTGGTTTCAAAATTTTAGACTAAAATAATTATTCTAAAGAGGTGTTTTGCACAAGGGAGCAGACTAACAATATGATCCGTGGGAGCAGAGTACACGATAGATAAATTTCTCTATTATTTTATATAGTAATTTTTAGATTTCAATCGAGTATGGTTGGCAAAATGTTTTTTTACAATAAATTCTTATGAAATTCCAAGTCAGTGGAGTACCTATTTGATATACTCTAGAATTTAATATACTATTTTGATATACTCAGCTATTTAATGTAGCATTTGCATATTCGCCTTCTGTTCATTTTAAACCAGGATGTTAGTGATTCCCGCCCATATACCCTTAACCTCTCTCTCTCATGTGTGATTAAACACTGGCCTCCATGGTTTTGCAGCTGAGATTGTATGCGAGAATTTGTCGAAAGACAAGTGCGCCTTTTCAATTTCATCAGCTGGCAAGCGATGTGTGCTAGAGAAATACGCAGGGAATGATGGTGATGAGGCAGAGTTCCAGTGCCGCTCCTCCGAGGTGGTGGTCGAGAGGCTCAGCGAATGGATCGAGACCGAAGAGTGTATTCAAGCATGTGGACTTGATAGAAACTCTGTCGGGATCTCATCGGACTCACTCCTCGAGCCACAGTTCACTGCTAAGCTTTGCGCAACAGCTTGCTTCAACAATTGCCCTAATGTTGTCGATCTCTACGTCAATCTTGCAGCTGGAGAAGGTATTGACGTCTAACTCTTTTAATTTTTTCTTGTTGGGTTGATATAAAGTATAGGGAAATTAATAAAAAATATACCTAATCTAAGATATAATTATTTAACATTTTACTTTTTGTTTAATTTAAAAAAGTCTAACAAAAAACACATGAACATAAGTTGAAGTAATTGAAGATAGTTAAAATGTTAAATAGTTGATCTTTTAGCTGTATTTTGATAAATTTTCGTAAAGTAAATATTGGACTATCCTTTTATATTAGGAAGATAGCCCCTGTTTTTTTCCACTAAGAGAAACATATCGATTACTAAAATTTGGGGTCCCAAAAATCCTCTGTTTTTGGAGTCGGCCTTTAATCCCCTCTATTTCTCATGTTTTTCTATTTAGATTTACTTTGTAACAATTTCCTTTTCTAACAATTTTTATGTAAATGGTGTTTTTGAGCAGGGGTGTTCTTGCCTGAGCTATGTCAAGTGCAAAGAATCAACCCAAGACGCGGCATGGCCGAGCTTCTGAGCTCAGGAGTTGCGGGGGGGCCTGAGCCCTCTGTTGCAGCGTTTTCAATGATTGCCCCATCTCCATCTGCCATATAAATTTAGAACTTTTTGTTTCTCTTTTTTGTGAAATTCTCTCATTCTTGTACATGATTGAGCAGATGATTAAAGGGGGGTTCACACTTTGTTAGTTTTTTTATGAGAGCTTAAGCATTTGTTCAAGCTTTATAGCCGAGTTATACACACCTATTCTTATATATTACAGTTCTGTTATGATCTATGAATAAACAGTATACTTACGAGTATTGCTAATTACAATCATAAGTATTTATAGTTAAATAAAATTTCCATTTGATTCGTTTGGTGAATTTAAGCATAGATTCCCTCTGGCTTCCAGCACAGATATAATAAAACATATCGTGTTTTAAAGGTTATGACTTCTGAGCAGTCATTGATCGTAACAATAAATATTCCAAATAACGGATTATATTTGACAATGGGATTTTATATAATGAGACCGTATGCAAGGAGGTCACAATTACGGCAACCATATGACATGAAATCTGATAGCTTAGGAATGTCACTAGGTTTGGAAAATTTTTTTTGGAAATTGGAGCTTGGTCAGTAGAATAAATGCAACCGTCAAATTTCACATCTAACGGTCAAGATTATTTGTGACCATCTTATACCAAAAGTAAATGGTCTCATCGTATACTTTTCCTTTTGAGAGTACCCCTTGGTATAACTATTATAACACTTGTTAAGGCATGTTTAATGCATTATAATTTTAGCGGTTCTTTGTTTTTGCCTGTGATTTTACAAACTTCGATCCAGATTAGAATTAGCAATTGACTCGGTATTGGGAATCAACCTAGTTAAGAATGCCAACCCTATTACACAAAATTTCTCGGTTCCCAAAACCTACATTCATTGTCTTTTCTATTTTTTTTTGTCGATTGGCCAATCATGACGTTAAAATATTGGTTGCTAAAATGGTTTTAAAAAAAAGACCAAAAAGAGGAGTTTAATGTATTAAATGCTTTAAAGTAAGGACCATGTTTCTATGTGGCAAAGCCCACATATGTAGAAACGCAAGACTATTAATAAATATATTTTTGAGATGGTTTTTTGGACTTAATTTTTAAAGACATATAAAGTCTAACATGGAGATCATGAAAATGAGAAAATAAATAAATTTTAAAAATAAAAAATAATAATTATAATACGAAACATTTGGACTGTTAATTTTCATTATTTTTAGATGAAACACCTATTTGTATCTATCTTTAGATGAAACACCTATTTGCATCTATCTTAAAGATAGATGATTTACACTTTTTGGACCGTATATATAGTCATGCGGTCCAGCCGATATGAAATAATTGTATCTTAAAGATAGATGATTTACACTTTTTGGACTGTATATATAGTCATGCGGTCCAGCCGACATGAAATAATTGTCCTTAAATTAATCGGGCCTACCCTGTAGAGTGAACATTAATGGCCATCTAGGGAACTTTATCAAATTATTTTTCGAAGAAGAGCAATTTAATACTTTAATCATTCTGATGAGCAATTTAATACTTAACTTATATCTTCTATTTAATTTCAAAATACCCATAAAAGTACATATGGTCTTGGCTCAAAATAGTTGCAAATGGGCAGCTTTCAATTCATAGGTTTCTAATCATGAGTTTTATACGGGATTTTGTATTGTGATTGTATTGATATCATAGATTTAGACATTTTGTTTCAATATAAATCCCGGGAAATATTGAGAAAATGTAGGAATGCTAGGGCATAAAAAAGAAAACGAAGTGACCCCTTTTTTTATCATTCCGAAGATAAAATGTTAAATATCTTATCTTTTGTGGGTATTTTTATAAATTTTCCAGCCATATATTTGTGATTTTGGAGGTTTATATTGTCAACAAAAAAAAGAAAATCTTATTATACAATTTTTTTTTTTTGAAAAAAATCACCCCTTATATACAATTTTCTTTGAGTATATTAATAAAAAAACTAAATTCCTAAGAAGACTATTATATAGCCTTTCATAACTAGTATAAAAGTGCGAGCATGGCCGGCGGCAGAATATCGTATATCAACTCCCTCCATCAAAAGAGCATTACAGGAGTTTTTTTTTTATTTAAAATTTTGGGATCTAAAATCGTCGTCTAGAAAGAATTTTTGGCAACAGAAATCTCCATGAGGGCTTTAAAATCAATTTTCAACATTGAGAATAAAATTCGAAACTCAAAAAATAGTACAAATCTTGTGAATATATAAACATTTATTTTTAGTGTGAAGTGGACGATCTAGATAATTTGTTGTAATGTACACTATTTTTAGAGCTTGAAAGCTTTTTTTTTTTTCATAACCATAATGTTCAAGTTAAGATGATCAATGTGAAGATTTTCTAATGCTTGAATTGATTTTTTTTTTTTTTTTTTCTACAAGCATAATTTACAACCGTTTTCCTCTTCTAAAAGATAAATATTATTTTCTTTTTCCATTTTTAACCCTGATATATCATCAGTTGCCGCATTCTATCAGTGTAAGCCTTCGGCCTCGCACACCGCAAACCGTTATGGCAGTATTTTCTAAAAAAAACTACGTTAATATCCCTATGAATTACTGTTATTATAGAACCAGCCCCCAAAGTTTGGTTTTAGTCTGTGCCCATTTTTTCCAATTTTTTTTTTAATTTTTTTTCCAAATTATTCTTACTTTGGTTGAAGGGCTGCAGTTTAATCATCGCTTTTTTTATTCTGGGCTGGAGTTTAATCATCGATTTTTTTATTTTTTTGGGGTAAGTAAGTGGGGAGAGGGCCCCTATTCTTGGTAGGAATTGAGCGTAAGATAGAGGTGCAAATCGTCAAGTGCTAACCAATTAAGCCTTGGTTCTTTTTCTAGAATTTAATTTTTTTTCACTCATATTGCCATACTTAGGAGCCTAAAGGTAAGTTCATGTGCAAAAAAAGATTAAATCTCCTAGATCTTCTAGGTTATAAGTTGGAGCAATTAAAAAATAATAAAAATTTTAACAAAAAAGCAGTGTTTAAAAAATTGGAATGCACAAAGTATCGGGAATCAACCGGATCCCTCCATGAGTAGGCCGGTTTCATCCAGGCTATATTGGTTCCAATTTTTTTTTTTTTTATTTTGTTTTGGTTTTTTTTTTTTAACCACTGAACATGCTGGTTTGGGGTAATTTTGACTTGTTATAACCGGTTTTTGACAAAACTGACCAAGTAATTTTTTCTAGTTCGTTTTTAATTTCTGGTCGGTAAACTAGATCACTGATCCAGATCACCAATCCGCCGAACTAGATTGAAAATCCGAAGGGCTATCAGGATCACCGAAACATTAGGAAAAATAATTCATATAAAATCAAACCTTTTAAAAGGATTTCTAAAATAACGGTAATTCATAAATACATTAACATAAATTTCTTTATTTTTCTACAATATTGGGGACAACCTAACCTAAAATCGCCCATATCAGTAGAGGCCACTGCCATAGCATAAAAACGCTTTTCCTCTGAAATATACAAATTGAGGTATCCCTTGTCCCTCACCAGTGGGGTGTTTTGGCATAAGGTAGAAAATCCCTTTCACCACACTTTGAAAAACCTTTTCATGGTTGTAGACACTTAAAATTTGAGTGATGCATAACTGAAATCCATCTCTCATTTAGACATCCACATAAGCCTTCACAGACACTATAGGCTCACCAACATCTTGCAGGGAATCATGAGAGCTTTCCAATACTCTAAACTTCATTTCTATGTTAGAAATGCTCTAGTTAAAACACTGAAGCTCGCCAGCCAAGGACCAATCTGAAGTAATGGTGGCAATGGGCCGGGTCTGGGTCTAAATATTGGATCCAAACACTATTTGGACCTGGGTATGATAATATTTTTCGAGTTCTATTTAATAAAATATATTAAAATGTGGTTTAATATATAGATATTTTAACTTTGGGTCGGGTCCAATCTGGTCAGGATCCGGTCCGACGAATACAAGTCCAGTCGGGTTTGAATCCCATATTGACTCGGACCCGACCCGATTCGTTGCCACGCTCAAGAAAAATTCATGACAAGAGTAGAAGATTCCATAGGTGGTTTGGGTTGGCTTTAATGAGAATTTTGTGATCAAAACACGCAATTCTTGACTATTAGATCGAAACCCTAAATCTTGAACCTTCACCTATAAATACCCCATGAAGAGACATTGGAGGGCCAGACATACAAAAACTCTATCAGAGTGAGACAAGACCCGAGCTATAGGAGCCCTAGCTTTTGAGCCAAGACTTTCCAAAATACCCTTACATCCTTAGATTTCCATCATCGCCCTAGATTTAGGAAGTTAAATCCGGGAGCTTAACCACATAGTGACTTATAACTACCCTTAAACCTAGGAGTACCTTCCAACTTTTCAAATCCAAGCATTAAACCTCTAATTCAGCCTCTATTATATTTTGAAAAAGTTTATATAGAGCTGAGGCTGTGAACAAAGAAAGTAGAGACTACCTCAAAAATTTCACTAGAAGAAGTTGTTTTGATGCTCAAATATCCTCAAATCAATCATCTTGACTTCGAGATGCATAGACATGAGAAAAAAATGGATTTCAAGTTTTGGAAATAGTGCATCTTTAACGTATTTTTGGAACGTCAATTTTCAAGTTTTTAAAGATCTACTCGATCTATACTATTTTTTAAATATTAAATTTTATAATTAAAGATGAAAATATTTTTTAAGGATTTTCAATATTGAAACTACATTTCTTAACACTATTTGAAGGTGCACTTTACTTTGATTGATAGGGTACAGTTTGTATAGGGTGCGGTCTGTATATGGTTGAGGCTCTAAACAATCAAAGTAAAGCACACTTTCAAATAGTGTCAAGAAATGGAGTTTCAATATTGAAAATATGTGTTTATTTTATTTAGTAGTGATTTCATGCAACTGTTGTATCACAGTATAATGCAACCACACTTTTAGAAAACTATGTTTGAGGTATTTGTATGACCCAAAATTTTGCACACACACTCTCTTCATCTCAATAATAATAATAATAATTTGTACTCTATATATGGTCAAAATGAGTCATCTCCAACAATGAATGTAGACCGTTCATTTAATGAATTTCAAGATCTAGGTTTTTATGAATCAAAATCATTTTTTCTTTTTTAATATTATTAATCTAATGATAATTAAATTATCTAAAAATTTTGAAAATAAAAATGATCGTTCTAAAGCCTAGATCTAAGCATCTCACCAAAATGGACGACCTATATTAATTGGGCTAAAAATATATTTTTAGGTTATATTATCAAATTCTTCTTTTTGTGATTGTTTATTAGAATGAAAAGAGTGTATATTTTAAAACTTGGATCATACAAATAGCCCTGACATGATTTTTGAAAGTTATTGCATTATATTACTATACAAACATTGTATGAAATCACTATCCATATTTATTTGTAAAGTAATATACAAAGAAATCATTTACTTTTAGTACAAGATGGTCACAATACTCCTCCCCATTACATTTCGGGTGGCTGTAATTGTGTAATTGACTAGGCTCTAATTTCAAAAACAAAATTCTTGAGCTTTGTGAGATACTCCAACCCATCCAATTAGATATCTAATGGCTCTAACTGATGGTAACTTGCTTGCAAAAATGGTAAATGATTTAGAGAGATCGTGACATACTTTTGCTGGGGTAAATGGGTTTAGTTTTGAAACCATTTTCCAAACCATTTATTTTATTTTCTCTCAAATAACCCATCTCTTGGTCTGTCTTGTCCTGGATGGGCAGGGCATGACATTGAAGGTGAACCTGAATATTTTCCATTATGGGATGTGGTATATTATGAGACTATTTATTCTTGTTACAAGAGGTCACAATTATTCCAAACTGTTACATGTCAAATTAGATAGCTTTGAATGTGTCATGAAGTCTATGAACAATCAAAATAAATGATATACTTTTCCTTCATCTATTCATGAATGGCAATGATCAGCTAATTGTACAGGTCCAGGTCGGCGTCAAACTTGACCAGTCCGAGTCCGGTATATTTTAATATAAAATACACATAATTTATATATGGGAAAAAGTTTATATAAGGTTGCAACCTTAATTGTAGAACTACGGATGCACCTTAAAAATCCGTTGGAAAAGGTTGTTTCAATGTTGAAAAACCCTCCAATTAAGCATCTCGACATTGATATGTATGAATATGAAAGAAAAAAGGATTTTGAGTCTCAAAAATAGTACATCCTACAACACATTATCTAGACCATCCATTTTCAAATTTTCATATATTTATTGATCTACTTGATTTTGACCATTTTTGAAGTTTAAAATTTTATAATTAGATATGAAATTAGATTTTGAGATAACCCTAATAATATTTTACATCAAAATTATATGTTATGACCAAATTTGAAGGTGTCTCTTAATTGGATTGTTTAGGTTGTAACTTTATAGAAACCACACCTTATATATATATATATATATATATATATATATATATAGTTAGTTAGTAGTACTACACACAGTACGTACTACTAGCTCTCTACTTATTTAAGTTAATTAAGTACGTAACTTACTTACTACTAAGTACTAACG